GTTTCTAAGCAGGACACTTCCTCAGTGTGTGTGTGTGTGTGTGTGTGTGTGTGTATCTGGTCTAATATACTGCCTACCGGTGAAGAGCCTGCAGAGTGAGATAAATGACCTCATATTCTCATGTCTGAGCCCGGCTCTCTGGTGCTCTCCGTGGGAACTACAGCATCATGTAGCCGCAGAGTTATTAATGCAACTTCAGAGCACAACATTAACTGTAAAGTGTATTCTAAATGACCTTAAGCTTGTTTCGGGGTAAAAGTTATTACATTTTTCCAGGGATAAAAGATAGGTTGTAGCATCACAACAAGCTTAACAAGCAGCCTGTCGGCGGGTTAGTCGTCACAAACTTTGTTCAAACACACAGAACTTCATTTCTAGTGGAGGAGCCCAACAGTCATTAGCAATACGAGTCCTGCAGGAATCCTAAAACCCGAAAATGAGTCAGCATGTTTGCACTTCCTGTTCACTCATCTCGAAGTCAATGTGTTTTTGGTTAGATGTCTGATTTAAGCTCTGCGGTTAACACAAGCTGAACAGATTTGAACATTTTGTTCTCTGATATGACATAGGTCAGTAAACACCCTTCTGTTGAGTTAAGAAGCTTTTACGTGTCTTTAAAAAGAGAGGAAATGAGACGACTAAAGTTCCTCACTAGAACACTAGTCCTCCTTTAGCTTAGTGGAGGAGACGTGAAGTCACGTGACCGTGGTGGAGTTCCTTTATCGACTAACGTTAGCTTTATACTTCTGCTGATTCTATTCTAAAATCATCAAAAAGTGGTGTTCATTTGTGAAGATTATCTTGATAAACAAACACTCTAATTATCATAAATGTTTGTTTGCCACAGAGATTATCTTCTGCAATAATCCCGTTGGCTTTTTGTCGAGGGAAGCAGTGTCAAGTTTCACTTTCTGTACAGTTTCCCGTCGGAAAGGTCTGTGTGACAGCAAGATAAAGTAGTGAATATGTTCTAAATATAGAGCACACTTAAACAGATATGGATATGGAAGTTTTGGAGCAGCAAACTGCCGGTAACACTGTGACTATGGATAACATCCGAACTATCCCTTTACCACCATCGGTCAAGGAAACAGACAATGCAGCTGATGAGCAGTAAACTCAGCGGAGACAGGAAACGCACGTTTTTCGTGGTATTTCAAATCCAATCTTACTTTGAAGGCCAGTTTGAAAAACACTTAAATCGAGCAGCTCTTCATTCATAGAGCTGAAAAGCCAGAGCTTTCACCAAATACCAAAATAAATTAAAAATCCAGCCTCTTTGCTTTGGCAGAATCCTTTTCACCCTTTTTCTGAAAGAAAGCGACACATCTGATAGATTGGTATTATGGTCTGTCCTTTGTTCGGTTGATTGGCTTCAATCTTTTTGGGAATGTTTCAGTGCATTATTATGTCAGAGCTGCCTCTAAAAGGACCTTTTTAATGAAAGAAGATGAATACAGTGATGTTTAGTAAAACATGTTGTTACATCATGTTGCTCTCAACAAGTTGGCAGCTCTAATTGTGTCAAAGAGGACGTTCAGATTCAGGGAGGGAATCAACAGAGAGTGCTCGTCCAGACTAGAAGCGTCGCAATACACCGGTATTATTTACTGTTATATTTAAAGCTACGATGACATTGTAATGATGGCAGACTTTAGGTTTTGTGTATTATATTTACACACTTGACAGAATTTAATGTGTAATTTGCAGAAAGAAATGCAAAGTGTGCCACTTTCTAAACCCAATAATCGGCTGCTTTTCTTGACTTTGTGATGCTGAGGCAACACTTTGCAAATGCTTCCTTTTTGAATAAGGGTTGAAAGGATTTTGGTCAAATTATCTCTCGTCTCTACTGTGCAATTTTGTTCTTTTAAATAAGATCCACATGGTTTCATGTACGTATTTGATTTTCCAGATTCAGCAGCAGTATCCACAATATCGAACAAGTCGCTCTAACGGCAGCCGTTTCAGCTGTGATTCATTTGCTTCTGCGAGTTCATTCATTCAATAGAGAGAGAAAAACGTCTTCTATTCAATCGAAGGTGCCAATGTTCTCAGTCTGATTGCGTTAATACACAACCCCCCCCCCCCCACAAACGCACCCTCTTCGCTCCTCAAGGTCAGCTGGAACAAAGCAGCTCCAAAGAACACTCGAATTAAACGAAACCAACACTTGCCGGCTGTGTCTCCGATTATGAAGCATCCATGATAACGAAGCCGAACACAACCTGCTGGAACATTCACGCGGTCTCCTGTAAAGTGTCCTGATACCATCAAACACAAATATGAGGTATAATGTATTGGACAGAGTCCTCGCTATAATCTAATACCTTTTCAAACTAAATCACACCGAAAGGCCATTTCGTCCTGAGAATAAGTTCACTGGCATACTCATAACCTCACTTCACAGCGCATCATGTTTCACTCAAAAAAATGCATCAGCAACACTCATCAGCAGATAACAAAGCACATTATACAACAGCTCCAAGCATGGAGGAGCTCGCTGGGATCCAATTTAAAAGTGCGGGACAAAGAATAAAAAACAAGATTAACGAGGTCGAAAATGCAGAAAATCAAGCCCAGACCCATGAGACACTGTGGAGCAGTACATCGGCTGTGTGATTGGTGATTAGCAGGTAGGCTACAGCCATGATTCACTCCCTTAAATTAGCTCCTTTGGACACGACGCCACAGGAACTGATGAGAAGGGAGGGGCTGAATGCTTAAAATGAAGCGGTGGGAATCAAGTGAAGTGAGGAGCGTTAAGATCAGGCTCTGAGTTCTTATTGTAGGCTGACCCCTCTTTAAGGCCACTGCATTGACTGACAGACGTTGGCTTGGAGCTGATTATCATCAGGCCTGTATGAGTGTGTGATTCAGAGATCTGAATGCCAACAGCATGAGTAAGTAGTCAGTCCTCTTTCATGGCCAGAAGTTATCAGCCCTCCATGTTTCTCTAAGAGACCAGCGTGGTGCTGCATTTCAGCACCACGTCGCTGTCCGCTCGTAATCCACTCCAGGCTTTCTTTGAGGACAGAAACAGGCCTCCTTCAAGCCTCACTGCAGTGTGGTTGTGATAAAAGCAGGACTTGAGATTTGCCACAGTGTAATCTGATATAGTTCCGAGACAGAAATTCTTTTTTTTATCATTATGGCTTTTAGCCATGTTAATGGATTGCTATGAAATTCTGCACAGAAATACCCAAAAACACCAAACTTTCACCGGGGATACTGCTATTGTGTCCCGCATTAAACCAGAAGTCCAAGTTGACTTATTTGCAGCATAACTTCCGTACTTCAGTAGTTATTTTAACCCAAATGTTATCTTATTTGTCCAAAAACTTTGGTACTTGAGTATTGTTGCTGCCGTAGTTATTTGAACCCAAACATTGACTTATTTGCCACTTATTTGAACTCAAACCACGATCTTTCCCTGAACCTAACCACGTAGTTTCCTGTGAAGACGGAGGTTTATTATGAAAAGACTGTATGGATGTAACGAGCGTTGTCATTGTCAACATGAGTTGCTGGACATTCGTAGGAGAACGCACAAAAAATGAGCAATATCTTTTGTTAAGCTATAATACGAACCGTTGTATGAGGAGACAATCCCTTAACTGTCCCTGTAGCGCCACCGTGAGGTTGACATGTTTGGTTTTAAGGGAAATGCCTTGACAACTTTTGGATAGACTGCCATGAAATTTGGCAGAGATTTCACATGCCCCCTCATACTATTTTTGGTATTATCACATTGATATTATAATTTCCGAGGGTGACACACAGCGTAAATTAAGCTGTGATGCCTGTATAGAGTCTTTTATAAATAATAATTTAAAACGCTATCATGCAGATGTCCAGTAGTTGAATCCACATGCAAGTTTCCTATTATAGGAGCAAGCATTGCATCTCTTGCTGCTCTTGCATTCGTCTAAAGCCTGTTGTGAAGACAGTGTTTGTATTTCCAGGACAGACGGGTCCAACAGCCCACGAGCACCTTTACCTTCATTTTTTGTTTTGTTTTAAATAAATATAGATACAGTTTCAGAATAAAAAACAACCACTGGCCTTAACGTTCCTAAACATTCTCACAGGGTCTGAAATGATAATCCGAGGGAGTTCAGCTGTGATGTCTTTATAAAGGCTGAGAGCTGTTAACTCTACCGTACAAAATAATCTCAGACATCATCATTCAGATATTCAGGACATCTACATTTGCATGCAAGCTTTTTTAGCATAAGGAGAAAAGATGAGCGGTGTATGAGTCTGTATTTAGTGTGTTAACAGTGGTTGTATTTCCAAGACAAAATGTTCCAACAGCCCTGTGAGCACCTCCTTTCCTTTTCCTCTGCTAACCTATTGTTTCACAGGAGAAATTAGATAACAACCAAGTTTCGCTGAAGAATAAATAGGCTGAAGAATAAATAGGCTATATATATATATATATATATATATATACATATTTATATAATTGCAGTGTGGACATAACCTGATTCGTTTTTGGCTATACGATACATTTTATTCAGCGTGTCTCTCCAGTTTCTTCTTTTTCTCACATGATAACATGCATTGATTAAAAAACAAGGCCAGAGAACAACCAGCCGGCAGATGTGGGCTCCTTCTCGCTGACCGCCTTCCACCAGCTCTGAGCTGAAGTTGAAGGCTGCCCGCGGCCGTGGCATCATCGCTCTGTGTGCGTGTGTGCGTGCGTGTGCGTGTGCGTGTGATGCTGATGTTGCCAAAGCGCCAAAGCGGCTCCTTTGAGGAGATGTACGCATCAGCTGTGGCCGCTGAAAAAATATTACGCGTGCGATAAATAAACACAGCAAGATGATTTTTTATTATTTCATCTTTTACATCCCTCGTGTCAAAACGAGGCTGCCGGGTGGCGATGGCTAAACCCTGGCTGTGACATCAGTCTGCTCTGTTGTCTCCAGCACGCATTGTGTCCGTCACATGAAAGACACTGCACGGGAGGTTGTGTACAAAGAGGGATAACTCACGCGCTCCCGTTGATCGATCCGTAAATGCCATCGCTCGGGAGTGTAGGAGGCTGGGGAAGAGCAACACCCCCCTCCCCCCCTCCAAAAAGAAAAAGCGCACTGTTTCCCGGCGTGTCCGGTGCTCGGTAAAAAAAGAGGAAGCAGCCTGCTGATCCGGTACCTGCGCTCCTGTGGTGGAGACTAGCGCGCCTTCCGTAGCTGCTACCGTGCAGGACTGAGCATCTCACACCGCACACCGTGGAGCCCTCACTAGTGTGGGATGATGATGTCGCGGGAATACGAGCGTCAGTTTTTAACGAGAACATCTATGTCTCCTGCTTGACTCACCCCGCATGTGAAGAGGCAGAGCCAATGGCAACGGGAAAAAACTCCTGTATGTGGTATTCTGAGATTAGATATGTGCCCCCCTGAAAATTCAGATTATAGGAGCCAAGCCCCAGAGAGTCCTCACACGGCTAACAGGAGAGGGAACAAGGATGCATGGCACAGGCGAAACGCAGACAGTCCAACAGCTTACATTTAAAGCCGCATGGCTCCACCAGTGGCCGTATCCTCCATACATGAACACTTCACACCTTCTGTTTTACAGACTGTGAGGAAAAAAGTGTCTGTAGTGTCTGAAATTGGCAAACCGCATGAAGTGTGAGGGAGACACCGTTTAAAATGGTCTGTGCTGGACTCCTGTCTCTTTCGTCCTTGACCCTAATGTGGGTTAATGCCCCACTTCTGTGGTGCACAGAGCCACGTGCCACTGATGAGATACTGTTCACTGATATGCCTTCATTAGATATTTAATTAACTCGATTTGATTTGGTTCTGATGCTCACACTTTCACCTTTACTTTGTAACTTTGTGAGGGATATGACTGATCTTTTTTTCAAACATTGAAAACGATGTGTAACATGCTGTGTGTCCCAGCTGGATGATGTCTTTGTTTTTTATATTTGTCTCTAATGAATTATAACCATAATTTGCATGCGTTAACATGACCTTATAGCTCTTTATAATTATAGTAAGGCACTCAAAATATGCATTATGCTTTATAACAATAGTTTTTTTGCAAGGATCATAGTGTATTGTAATTGTAGTTGTAATACATTATAATCTTTTGATAATGCATTGTAATCACTATTATAATTCTGAGTTACTTTAAGTGGTCATAGTTTGCTTAAAGTGAAGCAAAAATTAATTTGACAACGTTTTTGTGTGCATAGATTTTGTGTTTATGCATAGATTTAATTATATTTGTTCACTTTAAATGCACGCATGCATTGGGTGTCGACATACTTTTGGCCATATCATGTAAATATCTGTTATTGTTATACTTTGTGACCCAGCTGAGCAGTTGCCCTGAATACACACATACAGCATACAAGTACACTTACAGTTTACAGTCCTCTGCAGTCTGGACATCTTGCGTCATAATGCAGTGACCCCTGAGCCTTTCGTTCCACATATTGCTCTTCCCCATACGACCTTTATTCTCACAGCTTAGATGCATGAAAGATTATTTCAACCAAGATGAACTAAACCAGAGCCTGACGAACAAGGGGATATTATGAGTTATGTTATAACTTATCATATGCACGGTGTTGCTCAGCTCCTATAATCTCACAGGAGATATAAGCTGCACAGGACTTTACTGAATGAAGTGAATCATGTGATGCTCTTCAGGAATGTGCAGCTCCATGAAGCTGCCTCTGAAAGAAACTCAGTTTTTACTGAAATCAGGAACAAAAGTTTCCTTGATGGATACCCAGGCTTCACCTTGGGGAGATGGTTCTTATCACACCATTTCACAACTCTTCTCTTACGCTGATAGCTGCGTCGTCATCTGAGAGTCTGATGATGACACAGTGATCAGGTTTCATGCTTCTGCAGGCCTGTATGAGACTCCAACAGGACAGGAGAGCAAACACTGACAGCTACATGCTAGAGAGAAGGATAAGAAGTATACCAATATTCTATTTGATATTGCATTATATTATTTATATCACAATATAACAGTATTTTGTTTATACTATAAGACATTATCATTATTACATTATATGCTACATCATAGTATTCTCTTCTACTTCGATCACTTATTTTAGTTAAGTTTAGTCTGTTGTGTTTTCTCACCTTTCAGTCTGTCTCAGCTGTAACAGCAGATCAATAAAGCTTTATCTCAGAACAACATACTGACCAATACAATTACCTGACAGGGATAAATGTTCCCAGGCACTGTACCTTATTATGTTTATGTGTATATGTACTTATGTTAACTGGGCAAAATGTTGTACCAACGTTAACACCTCGTCCACATGTCAATAAAGTGATTGTTAAAAGGCCTCTTTATGTTCAGCTGGAGGCTAAAAGGGGAAAAACAGTTCAATGTTATTGATGCAACACTGCTGTTTTTATCTAACTACCAATGCCGTCGTATTTATTAATGAAATTAAACATAAATAAATAGATTCTTGTCTGTATTGAAATATGTTTGTTTGTCAAAGCATCAAGACGTGAATTTGCACTGATTGGGAAATGCTTTTTAAACTATGGAATTGTTCATATGGCTTTTGTTTCTTCCTGAGACGTCTTACGGCGTTAAACAGAGAAGATGAGCGCAAGAAACGAAGCTTCCAGATCAACTTCAGGGATATTATAGTGATCTGCTTCCATCATTTGTATCCTGGGGCCATACGCCATCACACAAATAACATGCCTATAGGTGTTTCTTATATAACGTACCCTCATTTTCATGTTGTGATGAATCTACTGATTCATTCATTTTATTTCATTTTATTGCCGTTTATTCATTCTCTCTCACAGCGGATTGAAGCCAATCCAGCACACAGAGGGCAGAAAGACAACTGTTGACACGACGCCATTCATCCTCTATGGAACATTTTTGATGTCTACTTTAAAAGAAATTTAGCAAAGAAGCAGCCCATCAGTAAAGGAATAATAATCATTCTACAAGTCTTCTTTAAGAAAAATTCCCAAACAAAAAACATTTCAATTGGTGTTTCTGGGTCAAAGGTTATGAGAGGTTATATTTAAGTCATTTATTATTCATGTCACTGACTTGTTAAAACATGGTAGGCTGCATGCTACAGTTCGATGCCACATCTGCAGGAGTATCTTAAATTCAAATAAACAATCGTATTATTTTCAGGTCCTCAATGTTTTATTACAGTATGGACGTTTTGTTCCACTGGAAATCAAATCTAAAAGATAATGTAAGTCGATACAAAACTGTACGATAAATATCAGAAGCATGCCCTCTGTTACACGCTTCACACATGTACGGTTCATCTACCTCTCCAATAACCAGCAACTGACGCGTGTTCTTTCAGATGTTCTTTCACCTTTGATTCATTATTCATCCTGATGTCAAATCATTCACGTCTCTCTTTTGACGTTCTCTTAATGTTGTTTTGAAGGAGGCGGATTGAAGGCATCTTTGGCAAAAGGAAGAGCTGAATATGCGTCATGTGTCCAGTGTGTCGTTGGGTTTTGTCAAAAGAAGCTCTTTGGTTCAGTTTAGGGAACGATTGTGATTTTTGGTTAATAAAGCCAACATACAGTACCGTCTGTCATGTTTCTAGTCAGTGTTTACTTTTATCAATATTTAACCAAGAAGATCATCTTTCCCAACATTTACTAAGCGCCTTAACATCAACTTAAAACAGTTCAATCATGTTTTGTGAAACGTCGTTAGGTTTTGTGAAATGTGTGTTCTGAAATGTTATTGGGTTGTATTAAATGTCGTGTTTTGTGAAATTGTCTGCCAACCAACAACACAACACATTTGTTGAAATGTAGTTCTCTGCTCTGCGACCTTTGAAAGATTGTTAAATCCAGCCTTTACTTTACTTTTCTTTATTTCATCGTTCTCAGTCAGCAGTTCCTTTCAAAATGATTACAATGACCCTCTGAAAGCTTAATTCATATGCTTGATTAGAGGAACGTCTTCTCTAATTCACATTGATGCAGCGCTGCCATTATCAGTTGTTTCATGAATAGGAACTAAACACGCTGTGAATGTTGTAATGATTACGCCGACCAGACAAATTAAGGATTGGATGTGATTCAACCTTTAATCAGAGGAAATCTTTTGTTATGAAGGAATCGTGGTATTTCAAAGTTTCTAACTGAAGTGACACCGGTTCTGCCTCGTGGGCCATCAACGGCTCCATCCGGCCTGCAGCCAGAGGAAATTTCCACTGGAGCTGTTGTTGTCCAGTCGCAGACTCTTCAACCGGCACGGCACCGACCGAATGCCCAAACATTCTCGCCTGATATGCCCGGCTGTTTGTTGACAGAGAGGAATAGCAGCTGACTGCTGGCAGGAATGTAGGCTGATGGAGAGCGGAAAAGTACCGGGTGCAGCCTAACAACTACCCCCCCCCCCCGACCAGTTAAGCACTCCCCTCTAGATGTGTCTCCAGGGCCAGTTTTGAACAAGGGCAGCCGGCAGCTTCAGGCTCCAACTGAATCAAATCAGACTTATAGGCTGGAAAGAGTTCAGATCTGTCGTTGGGTTCATAAAAAAAAAGTATGTGCTGCCACTCTTAGCGGCAATTAAAGCCATAATGACGAGAAAAAACCTACCCAGTGGTTTCAGCAAAATGTGCTTTAAGTATCAAAAGCAAAATTGCTCATTATGGAACCCTGGAAACAGACCCTTGTGACTTTTATCTGAATTTATCAATCAGCGCTTCTCTCTCCCGGTACTTGACACTCTAACAGTGCTCTCTTTTCCCCACATTTAAAATCTGTATTCCTCAATGGATCCAATTTAATGGATGTAACTGATATTGATATTGAAGAAATTAATTAATGTGGATCTGTCACCTTAACTGATTTTGTTTCTATAAGATTGTCATTGTTGGTACTGGTGCATTTGTGTGTACGTAGTGTTTTGATGTTGTTGTTTGTCGAGGTGGAACTAGCTTTTAGTTGAATCTATAATGATGCGTCATATTTTAAGGGCTCATCAAATGTTTTAAGTTTTTAATCTGCAAAGTAACTTTTATCTATAGCTGTCCAATAATTGAATAAGGATGAATACGGATATTAAAAAACATAATTGTTTGAAATGCAGCCATTACAACTCCTTCTAATTAGTGACAAAGATGGCCCACTTAGCAAATATGAAATGAACTTGCCTAAAAAAGCCACGTTTCTTTTTTACATTACTCGATATCCCTGTTTGTCGAACTCAAATGAATCTCCACAGGTAATGTATCTACTGCTGACTAAGGCCTTTTCCTTCCCTCTCTCTAGTTGACGGACACATTTTGGCCGTCCGTGCTCTCTTTCAAGGGACACATCTGCCTGAAGGACGACGATATTTTGCTGTGACTGGCAGATTTAAAAGTGCTACGTGACAAGTGACATGTTCCGCTGCGAACTCTAAGGTGTTTAAATCCGGACATTACTGCAAACAAAACATAAAGAATAAAAAACACCTGGAGGCAGAAGATGCTGATATATGAAAACACCCTGAAACAGTTGTAGCTGATATAGTAGAACAACTACTAGGAAGCCAAACAGCTGACATTTAAAGAGAATATGACTAATACCTGTTTGGATATTATCTAGCAGGGATCAGCATTATTATCTGCTGTGAGCGGAGCTGAAATGATCCGTGTTATTCCATAATATTACTTTCAGGTTGTTATTGCCTCCCACATGCGAGTACAAGTGTTGTATGTTTTGATGGAGAGGCGGGACAGACTGGCTTTATAGAGGACAATCCAGACTGTAACTTATGTAATGGGAGATTTGATCAGGACACTGTGCTCCCTGACAAAGGCATTCCTGTTCAAAACCAGCCGACCGCTTCACGGAGGGTGAACTTCTGCCCAGCAGGAGAGGAGGACGCAAACAAGGAGCAGAGGGCGTCCGACTGCGTGGTCGTCACATTGACGATGGAGGTGGAAGGAATTCCCCTGAACTTCAAGCTGCAGCACCTCCTTAGCTTCTGTTTGTGAAAAGTGACTCCTGATCACCACTTTATTGAATTGGCCTCTTGTGTGTTGCTTTCATAAATTCAATAATATAATAATAATAATAATAGTAAAACAGGTAAAGCAGTCTGTTTGACCCACATAAAACCGGGTCGTAACCATGTCGGATCGTGTATGGTTCAAAGTAGACTCTGTAATCACACTTTTATACAAGTTTCCATTGGTCCAATTAAATAAATCATAAAGCTGCAGACATTTTAGACAATTCAGTGCTTCCGACTTTGCTTCTTGGGGACAAGAAAGTAAGTGAATTATTTTATATGCATATAAAGTGACAGATAGTTAAATCATAACCCTAAACCAGAATATTCACTGCTGTCATTATAGGTTATAATTGAACAGGTTTTAATGCAAACATTTAATGTTATAGACATCATACATACATAGTCCGTGTATGTCCATTCAGTATTCATTTCTTTGCACTTTGCATTTGTATTGTTTACAACTTACAAACCATTTAACTTTACTTTGTATGTTATATTTCATTGGTGCATCTTTATTTGTATTTATCTAATCTTGATACAAACAACTTTCTTTTTCACTACTTGTGTTCATAACAGTTCTATTCTTTACCTTTATTTATCCAGCTTCTTTGTCGTTGTTCCTATAGCTGTTATTTATATTTCTGTGTAAGTAATTTAATGCTGTGTGTATAATTACACAATGAGAATTTATGCCGTAGTGTCCCCCTTTTTCTCTTTCTTTATATATTTTTTAATGATTTTATTTCTGTCTATCTTTCCTTATGTTCTGCGTTAGTTTGAATGTATGCATTTTGCTGTCTCTTATTGACAATTTGTGAATTGCACTGAAATAAAGAAATACTTCCCTGTCCTCCACAGAGCTCTGATGAACACCTCTGGGATGAACCGGACCGCTGACTGTGAGCCACGTTCCGCTCAGTCACGTGGTTGTTTGTTCGACGACTGATTAGTTAATCACCTATTTATGTCATCGAAGGAGAAGCTGCCTCTGTGAGCATCGACCCTTCACTAGCCCCGCCCTCCAGGGACTTCCCATTGGCCAGCCCGGAACGTAAATAAAAAAATCCCGGCCTCCCTATTGGCTGAAGCTGTTCCTCGGTCGCCTCTCTCGTCCGGCTGTCAGTTTCGGGGATTCCTAGCTTAGCATCGGACCTTTGTGTACACAGGACCCCTCCACAGCTGCAGAAATGAAGTTCGTTAGGTTCATCATGAAAAACGCCGCTTTGGCCAGCGTGCCCAAACACATCGAGCATTTCTCCAAATTCTCCCCCTCACCGCTCTCCATGAAGCAGTTCCTCGATTTCGGTGAGTATTGATCCGCGATCGGAGCGATGTGCACACGCGATTCTCCAACGGTGCATGTTAGTGGAGTCACCGTCTGCTCTGCAGAGGGTCTGAAGCAGCATAGTGCTCACGGTGCAGTGTTGCATCATATCTCTGCACAGTTTGGGCCCTGTGACAAAAACAGTTGCTCCTTCTAATGATCAGCATACTGATAGTTTGTTTAATAAAGTCTCTCAGCAGATTGTAAATGAACTATCGTGCAAATTGTGCAGAGGAATCCAGTATTATTTGCCGAGCAAAATGCTTATATCCAGTATTTAATAATAATAATTTGTATTATTATTATGGTTGTTTTCATTATCTATAAGTATTTTTTTTTTTAATTAATCAAATAGTCGTGTGATTGAAATGTCAGATAATATTTAAAATGCATATATATTTCAGTACCCAAATTCACAATCACAAAATCAAGAGTGCTCCATGTTTTAATATCGATGAAGTTGGGAGCAACTTATTATCACATTCACCGTTTTCTTTTCCAATTTTTCTTCGTCAATGTAAAAGATACTTTTTGGAGTGTCCAAGTTGGTTGGAGACTCTGAAAAGTATTTCTAAAAATCCAAATATGTTAAATTTACTATAATTTAAGTTGTAGAAAAAGCAGAAAATCTTCACATTTTAGACATTTTCCATGTTAAATGATGATCAGCTGATCAATATGTGGCCTCAGCTCTGCTTCTTGTTTTTCTCTCTGTGCTGACTCAGGTTCCATCAACGCCTGTGAGAAGACGTCCTTTGTCTTCCTGAGACAGGAGCTGCCAGTGAGACTCTCCAACATTATGAAGGAAATCAACCTGCTGCCCAACAGACTGCTCACCACCCCGTCTGTGCAGATGGTGCAGAGCTGGTACGTGAACCGGGGCGGTGGGTTTCTGTGTTGTTGTGATGTGAAGTTACACGACGTCTCCACTGTGGCACATTGTGCCAAAACAAAAGAGCAGACTGAGTCTCTCTCAGTAACTCATTAAAATGTGTTTGAAACCAGATTCCCCCCTGACGAGTGAGACGTTTACAGACACAGCTGTTGACTCTCTTTATGGTCATGTAGTAGGAGGGTTGGCCAAGTTGAACTGTTTCCAACTCACCCTGTGAATGGGAAAGGTGCTCAGCTGTGAACTTTACCCTAGTTTCTCTTCTGTCACGTGACCTTGTTTTCAGGAGCTGCTTTGCTTTGTGACGAATGAACTACAGCAAATACCCCTGCAATTATTTGAAAAACGCATGTTTTAAACCAGGAACTTTCACAAGTAAACCTCCTGCAGGACTCAGTCAACTGTTTGTCTTGCATTTTACTACAAATGTGTTTGTTTTTTTTATATCAGGTACATCCAGAGTTTAATGGAGATCCTTGAATTCCTCGACAAGAATCCTGATAACTTCAAAGTCCTGGGAGAGTGAGTTCCTCATTTTGTTCGACAATCTCACATTTGTTTATTAACGGCTCACCCTTTATATTTAAAGCTTCTGTGAGGAACTTTTAACTGGTTATGAAACAGTCCGTTTAATACTGATGCCTCGATGTGACCTATAAAACTAAGGCATGGGAGAACCAGGTCCAGGACTGAGAGGTGCAGACTGTCAGACCCTAAAGGGACTCTGGTGCTCGGATACACTACCACTTTTGTCCACAGGGGCCGCCAAAATCAACACAAAATGAAAGTTCCTCTAAGTAGCTTTAAATGAAGCCTGAAGTTGCTGTTTTTCATGTCACATTATTGGGAAAATACTATTTTAATGCTTTGTAATGCTTATTCATTTGCTTACTGTCCTCCTGCTTTCCCCAGGTTTGTTGACGCCTTAGTGACCATCAGAAACCGGCACAACGATGTCGTGCCGACTATGGCCCAGGGTATCATCGAATACAAAGAGACCTTCCCCCAGGACCCAGTAACCAACCAGAACATCCAGTACTTCCTGGACCGCTTCTACATGAGCCGCATCTCCATTCGCATGCTCATCAACCAGCACAGTGAGGAACATTCCATCATTTACATTTCTTTGGATTGCCGGTATGCGATCAAATATGAGCTCTAAAAACGTTCCAAACACGTAACGCCTCTATCTGGTTTAGTCAAAAGTTAGTTTTTACTCTTCTTTGTTGTGTCTGTAATGAATATTTTCACACCAGGCTGTGTGACATTATTATCTTACTCCCTCTGCTCGCTGTCACTCTCTCGACACCCAGAGGGAAAAACGCGTCTCTCCACTCTGGAATAATCTTTAAAAAAAACAAAAGTGTCGTCTCACAAACTTTTTTAAATTTATTGTCACATCCATTATAGATTTTCAGGAGGGTTGTTTTTGTTCGCCTGGGGAACGGTTTGAGCCGAGTCAGGCTTCATCATATAGTTTATAGATAAACATGCAACATTTTTGTTTCTCCTTCTTTCTTTAGTCAACACTTTAGATGTCCCGTCCTCATGTCAAAGTGTCCTTGTGTAAGACACTAAACCCCAGATCTCAAATTTAATCCACCAAATGAATGTATTACAACATTTTAAAGGTACAGTGTGCATCATTTAAAGGGATCTATTGGCAGAAACGGACCGTAATATTAATAAGTATGTTTTCTTTAGTGTATAATTATCTGAATCGTTGTCTTTTCGATACCTTAGAATAAACCGTTTATACCTGCATACGGAGCAGGTCCTCTTCACAGAGACGGCCGCCATGTTTCTACAGGAGCCCAGAACGGACAAACCAAACACTGGCTCTAGAGAGGGACATTCGTGTTTTTCCGACACACTGGCCCTTTAACTGGCGAATATCTGATTTGGCTTAAACCACACACTTGATTGTCTTCTTCTTTCCTTTTACGCATTGATTCCAGTTTTTTTGATATCATAACTTAAGACTAAACTATTTGAACTGCTGATTTCCTGCTCTGTGATGACAACAACATGCTGTTCAGAGTCGTGTTTAGCATCGTGAGCTCGTAGAGTTCTCGTCATCGGTCATGTGGAACAAAGATTTTTGATGCTTATCGTGTTGATAAAGTGTAATCTACGACCGCAGCATGAAGGGGGAATCATCACGCCTTAAAGAATTTACAGTAGCAGCTGATATTTTTCTGACGCCGTGTTTTGGCTTCTATGTTTTCTATGTACTTGTTGTGTTATTCGTGTTACTGGTCTGGGTATCAACATACTTCAATACTTTCTGGGTACCAAAGTACCATAAGGTGGAACGCAAGATTGGCTTATTTTGTCATATAGAAAAATAGTTTTGTAGAATAAGCTGTACATTCTTCATAAAGAAAGCTTTTCCTGATGTTGTTGTTCACTGTCGATGATTACAGATGCCACACGTTGTGCTTTCTGTACTTAACTCGGTTCTTTTGTTCTCCGCAGCTCTTATTTTTGATGGAACCCTCAACCCGGTCCATCCAAACACCATTGGGAGCATTGACCCCCACTGTGAAATCGCAGATGTTGTCCAGGGTAAATATGAATTATGTTTGGAGATAAAAGCATTAGATGAGCTGTGTCAAATATAATCTGACTTCTAAAGAACAATAGCTTTGATGAGCTACAATGATGTCTTTCTCAGCTTTTCATTCTATTGATTACTACTTAAACATTAACGTTGAACAGGTTTTTTTGTATTGTGATCATATTTTCTGACTTTTATTCCTTTCTTTTATTGTTTTGGGTCAGATGCTTTCCACAGTGCCAAGATGCTGTGTGACCAGTACTACCTTCGCTCCCCTGATCTGATTCTCCAGGAGATGTGCAGTAAGCTTACATTCATTTAATCTGGCAGATTAAGTACAAACCCGATTTCACTCTTAATGCCGACACCCCAAAGGGCAAAAGTCCTCGTCGTTCATTCAAGAGATTTAAAAAAAGGACAAATGGAGCCGAGTCCTCTGTGTGTACACACAGAATGAGTGTTTGTATGTGAATTAGCGTTCAGCCAGATGGACCTGAGAGGCCTCTAATTATAGCATTGAAGCTCAAGTAAAAGGCTGACTGCATCAGACAATATTGACACGCAGACCCTCAGACAGTAAAACCAGAGCTTAGCAGAATAATTGCCACCGATAATGCATTTTAAATACAGCGGAATGAATTAAGAAGCCGTTTGTCTTTTGTGCAGGCAAGAAGAAGAAGAACCTTCCCATGAGCATCGTATACGTTCCCTCTCACCTCTATCACATGCTGTTTGAGCTCTTCAAGGTGCGACACATCCTGTTGATTTTAATTACAGACGAATGAATGATATTACAATGAAAAAAATACATTTAAAACTACTTTAAGATGTCTGTTATTATGCTATATGTTCCTTTTTTTTGTAGAATGCCATGAGGGCCACAATAGAGACTCACGACAACAGCAACACGCTCCCACCCATCCAAGTCATGGTGTCTCTGGGAGACGAGGACATGTCAATCAAGGTGGGTTGCACGTTCAAAGTACAGCTTCTTGAAATAGACAAATAAAACTTTGGGATATTTTGGTGAAAGCCTGAAGAACAAAGAGGGACTCCGTTCTCCCAGGAGTCACTTATTAATAGCGGGTGAATTGGAGTTTTTAAACTGTCTGTGGGCGTGTTTTTATGTTTGTAAGCTCTGTGTGAACCAGCAGGTTTTTAACAAATTGAATGAAGTCTGTAAAGATGTAAACATTTTCACTAAGTTAATATTTTACAGTGTTCAAATCAGTTTAGTATTAAATGAATTCATTTACCGGCCCTATTGCCTTTGCTTTCAAAGCTAAGGGAGTCACCTCTCTTTGTTGTTGCCACCAGAATCCTTCTCTAAACCCGTTATGCAACTACTTCACCCTCAGTTAATCACAGTGCCGATCGGAAAACAAAGCTACTGAGCTCTGAGAAGATTTACTGCGCGGGCGATCATAGCTCGTGTTAATGCCCATGTTGTTGCCAGGACGTGTTCCCGCTTGTTGTGACTCATTCATAAAGTCAGTGATGAACCACACAATAAGACGTATATCAAAATACTTGAAGCTGCACTTTTTTTCTTCGATGTACCTCCTCTACCAGTTGACCATTTGCACGTTTACCATGAAATATGTGCATTACATGGTGAGAGGGCCACTTAGCTTTCACCGTTGAGTTGAGGCCATGTGTTCAGGACAGGCGGCTCCACCTCTTTATGGCTCAGCGCTGTTCAAGGACCTCACGTCATTCTCTGTGTCGGCCCATCTCGCCTCTCTGTGACGGCCCGTCTCACCTCTCTGTTTCTGACCCCCCCCCATCTGCAGGTGAGCGACAAGGGTGGCGGTGTCCCCTTTCGGAGGATCGAGAACCTCTTCAGCTACATGTTCTCCACTGCTCCGGCTCCACAGATAGGAGAGCGCACTCGGCCTCCACTGGTACGTAGAGAATATATATATATATATATATATAATTTAGAGCTCACATTTTGCACCATATGGCATTTTTGTGTCATTTCAATATAGTCTCCAAGCATCAAAATGCTCATTCAGCCTTTTATTTAGACTCTTACTATTTAAAAATTGAAATCCTCATTGTTGAGGATCCACGTTACACAAAGCATTTTGAAACTTGTTCCATGGAGGAGCGCTGCTGCTCGCAGTGTGACTGAGAACAAAGCCTTCATAAACCCTTAATTCCCCCCCCCCCCCTCTCTGAACAGGCTGGCTTCGGCTACGGTCTGCCCATCTCCCGTCTCTACGCCCAATACTTCCGGGGGGACCTGCAGCTCTACTCCATGGAGGGCCACGGCACAGACGCCGTCATCTACCTGAAGGTGAGCCAGACGTGGTGATCGTGCACGAAACTGTGACGAGACGCCAGAGGAGTTTGAAAGTAGAGAGAAGGACTGCCTTGTGGCAACACCTCTGCAGACCTTTGAAGCAGGTATCGCAGGATATTTGTAATTACAAGTCGTCCCTCCTGTCCCCCCCAGGCGCTGTCCACAGACTCCATCGAGAGGCTGCCGGTGTACAACAAAACCGCTCTGAAGAACTACAAAGTGAGCCAAGAGGCCGACGACTGGTGCATACCCAGTAAAGAGCCTCTAGATCTGAGCATCTATAAGGTTCCCAAGTGAAAGTGGCCCGGTGCTTCGAGCCTACACACCACGAAGCCTTCACAGTTTCTGTCTTCATATTCCCATGTCGTCGTCTGTCAGGGCAGATGTGTGCACCGGACCTTTTGTTTCTAATGAGAGGTCATCTCCAGACTGAACTTATCTTTTTAGTCAGGTTTTAGCAATCTTCATGTTGCTTTTAGTCCCGGTTGTCCTTTCGGGTTCTTCATAGGAAAATAGAAAACAGCTACTAACCGATAGGACTTTGAGAGATGCTGCTCCAGTGTTGCATCGTGTGCAGGTAGAGACGGAGCAGGTTACAGGTTTGGTGTTTAGGCTAAAAAAAAAAAGTGTGAGTATGAGAGGACCGATGCAGAGGAGGGTTTATAATATTCCAGTTTTACGACACCACACATGCTGCAGATGTTTGAGCAGCCACTAATGGAGGTATTGAACCTCATCCTGTAAGGTCACCCAAGCCTTATAGTAGCAACTTCATTCAAAGGCTCATTTCATTGAAATACTGAAGTATCTGAGATAATACTCCTGTTGCACCGTGTTCATTTTGAGAGTACTGTAATACTGTTGGATCCGTAGATTTGAACAAATGTACGACTGTTACATTGATCTGTTGTTGTGCTTACTGTGTGGATATTCATCGGAGCTTTTGATATTTCCGACTCTAAATCACAGTATTCGCGTTGACTGATAAGATACGGCGTTATCTTAGCATCAGTTTTTTCTGGATCGGGATGAATGTAATCCACTCTTCTTCTATGCATTCATTTGCATTCATTACGGAGACTTAGAGTGGATTGATAGAGCACAGCTATAGGACCCATGTGCTCTGTGATATAGCAGGCTTTTAGAGCCAGACACCAGAGGATCTGCCACACTTTTGTTTGTGAGGTTTAAGCCGAGTTCAATAGAGGCCAGTGTTATTAAAACCCCAGGAGGCAGTGTATGCCATGTTTGAGTTCTCTGTGATCCAATGAAGCGAGTCCAGTCTCAGAATGTCTTTTTACACTGTGCCATACGAGGAGAAAGATGTTCCCGGGTCCATATGTGTGGAAAATGCACAGATTTCTTTTGTATTAAATTAATCTTAAATCATACAGTAAGTTAAAGGTTATTTTTATAGCTACATGACTGAAAAGATTGTATATAGTGTGAATACAGTCCACATAATAAAGAACAACTTAAGTAATAAATGCTTCTCTTGTGCTGTTTTATCCTGGTGTGTGTGTGTGAGTGAGTGGACGACAGTTTATTAGGTGGGAACAGCCGATTGATTATATCGACCAGTGGAGGATCCCCGCGGTGTTGTCTTTTCTGTGTGGGACGAGAAGAGGGAAACTAAAGGTGGTTTGTTTTTACCTCTGTGTCACTGGATCTGTTCTGGATCGGGTGGTGAGATCAAGTTCAGCAACTCTACCCTGCAGCCATTCCAGCTCCAGACCCTCGGGCACAAAAAAAATGGATCTTACCACCACGGAAAGATTTATGTCGGTAAGTTTCCAGCCCCGCTGGTGCTCCTCTGCCTGTGGGGACGAAGAGTGACGAGCTGGATCACACTTCTAAAAGCCAGGCCCAGAGCCCAGTAAGACAGAGGTCATGATGGGGAAACGGACGGGTCACGGTCCTCTGCTTGTTTGGGAATGTGAGCCTAAAGGGAGTTCTAATAATAGATCATGAGCTTCTTTGCACTGAAAATATATGGAGGTTAGTGTGTCATGCGTTAGTCATGGCAGGAGTGAAAAATAACTGCACGTTTATGTTTTTAGAAGAAGAGAAAGGAAAAGAAAAAAACAGGAGGCACTTTTTTGTCTTAGGTCAACTGGCTTTAATATTTATATTCATAACAATTTACAAGTAGTTTTGACGAAGCAGTCTGACACATTTTATGGGGATGCCTTTTTTTGTTGATGAATGGAAGATCCTGCAGGGGACAGATGTCAAGAGAGGCTCATTTTACAGGCCGACTGGCCAACAACAGCAGCAGCAGCAGCAGCAGCTGATCTATATGCGGCCAGAGCACCAGGATGTTTACCTCCAGGCCACAAACCGCTCCACGGAGTGGAAAGAATCCAACAGCGCCCTTCTCCTTATCTCATTCAAACAACAGGCTGACAGACTGCATAGCAACAGGGACCGTTGCAGTACAGCGACAGGAACATCCTGTCCAATATCTGCACGGTCGTGTGTAACTACTGTAAAACATGAGGGGAGCAATACATTAATGAATATGTCTCTTATGTAAGGTTGTATTTTAAAGAGTGATTTACTCTGCACTTGTCATGTGGAGAACAGTCTGTTCAGCACGAGTTGCAGCCTTTATTAATAATAAATACAAAACCAAGCTCAGAAATCACAACTATAAAACTCCACCTACATTAAGTTAACAAACGCACAAACCCTGTTAATAAGAAAAGTAAGAATTAACCAGAATGAATAACTCTGAACATTTTTGGCTTTTTTTAAATTTCAATAGTTTGTTGTTCTCATTACAGTCAACTTCTCTGCTGTAATTCATGCAGTAAAATCAGGCATTTGTACATTCCTCACAACAATGCTGCTGTTCCTGCAGTGATCTAATGATTAGTGATTATACAATAAGTAAGTGAGAAACCATCTTACATAACCGTTGAGCCCCTGTTGTTGTCCCCAGATGGTTGTCTTAGCTGAGGCGGCGTTTGTAACTTCTTCATCTTGTGCAGTTGGCGGCGAGTCTGTGAGTTCGAGCTTTGCTCTCCGATGTTACGAAGCCTGAAGGCAGACGGAGCTTAAGATTCATACATTATGCAACTAAAGTTTTGTTTTTTTTCCCTTTCCCCAGATGTTGCTCTGCACAGACAGAACTGTGCTGAGCTTTTGTCACACTGGGCCTATAAAGAGAATAGAACATTCATTATATTAAAGGCAATTACTTACAAAGCCGTGTGACAGACTCAAGTTCTGGTCGACACAGCTTTTTATTTCAGGCTGAGCTGAAGCTTTTTGTGCAAGTAAAACTCTATGTACAAGTGATTAGTCAATAGACAGAAAGTTAATCTTGGTTCATCAAACTTTCTCTGCCTCCAGCTTCTGAAATGTGTCTTTTCTTTGTGTCCAGAAGCTTAACATCTTTCAGCTTTTGGCCTTTCCATTTGAAGACTTAAAGAAATTGCCACTCTACTCAAATCTATGTTCCTCTGATATTTTGTAATTTTATAGACCAACGATTATAGATTAATAGAGAGAATAATTGTCAGATTAATCGATAATAGAAAAAGTTGTTAACTGCAGCCATAACGGATGGTATGAAAATTATTCTTTTTTATGAGGCACATCCGGCCTTCACACCCACATCACCTCCGACCAGAAATTCCAATTTTCCATTTAATTTATTCCTTCAACCTTTAAATTATATTTTCCCTTCATAATGGGTCTTAATGTTGTTTTAAAACATTTCGTATTTTAATTTAATCTTTTCAGCTTTTTTGTCCTAAAAACAGTCCAATTACATCATATTCTCATCCTTATGCCTTTCCAGAAATACAAAAGTCCTTCCTCTGTCTGCTCTGGACTCAACATGAGCTGCAACGTTTACATGTTAATCCTTAAATATTATAAATCTGCACCGTTTCAAATCTAAGCTAAAAGAAGAAAAGTGCTGACTCTGCTGCTTTGCAGGAGATGGAGAGTCTCAGGTGTGAACAAACAACACTTCAGCAGATCTGACTCAGGTCCTCTTCAGTCTGTCTCCATCAGCACATCAGCTATGAATGTCAAATGATATTCAATCACAGAAGCATTTACGCCGTCAGAAAAGAGTCCAGAGGGAAAAATGTTCTTTACGTAAAATAGAAGATTCTTTATGTGCTGCATCACTCTGTCCTCTGTGGACTTCATCCTGACTGCTATAAACTCAAACCTTATGGTTCAAATGATGACGAGCCAGATTGTTCTGTAATATACTTTAATGTGATGATGACAATTGTGGGTCTTTCTTTTCTTAAACTGTCATGGTCGTATGTCCATGATCTATCTATCCATCCATCCATCTGTCTATCCATCTATCTATCTATCTATCTATCTATCTATCTATCTATCTATCTATCTATCTATCTATCTATCTATCTATCTATCTATCTATCCATCTGTCTATCTATCTATCTATCTATCCATCCATCCATCCATCCATCTATCTATCTGTCCATCTATCTATCTATCTATCTATCTGTCCATCTATCTATCCATCTATCCATCCGTCCATCCGTCTCTCTACAGGTACCTCCCTGTGTTAACCACCAGGTGGCGCACTAACACCAGTGTGCTGTACCAGTGTCTGTTCTTGGTGTTCAGCTTCTCGTCCGGGAGCTTTTTCAGACAGGAGGCCTCATTCAGAGCCACCACAGACCGGAGGAACCGACTCAGACCTGATCGGTCGGTCGATAACGGTTCAAAGTCAGCAGGTTGAATGGAGAAAGCTGCACACTCTCAAACATGAACCATATTCCTCTCATTCATATCCAATTGACAATAATTGTGATGAGCAGTAATTCTTCCTTTTATGGTAACAGAGGGCATCACACAGTCGGTGCGTTTCCTCCCTGCGACTGTTTTACAACTTAGAGGAGGCCCCGTCATCACCGAACTATGTACCAGGAGCCGTGGAGCTGTGGTCTCCAGAACTATTTGACCAGTCCGACCAGCACCTCTCACCACCGCAGGGCGGGGGGCGGGGTTACGAAGAGGCGGCTTCAATCCGATTGGTGGAGGTGTCGGCCCGGGGGACGACAGGAGAGAGAAACTCCAGGAAAACGGACGGAGCTCTCGCGCACGATGTAACGGGAAGGTTACTTCTTTTTTTTGCGTAAAGAGGAAACTTTGGACGGACATGAGGATATTCTGGGATACTTCACGACTTCAAATATAGAAAAGCCGGACTCGTTTGGGGGGAATAGTTATTTCAGGATTTAAAGCCACACGGAATAAAAACAACCAAACATTTCGAGCGTCATCAAACTGAAATTCCAGTTTGGCGGATGAAAACGTGTCCACGGAGGAGAGGAGGCGTGCACAGGAGCCCGCCAGTGCTCACCTTTAGTCGACACTTCAGAGCAACTTGTTGTTAAAACTTAATTTTTTCCACGCGCTTAAAAACAACAACAACAAACAGGTATCGGCATGGCAGAGCACGAGAGCCTGGAGTATGGGAAAGCGGATTTCGTGCTTTTAGACAACGTGTCTATGGAGGAGTTCATGACGAACCTCAAACTCAGGTAAGCGGCCATTCACCTTTTTGTAAATCCACGCATGCTCCGCAGAATAACGAGAGAAAACACACACACACACACACACACACACACACACACTCTCTGTTCTATGCGAACATTGTGTCTTTTCGAGCATCACTTTATCTGGATATGTGTCCGGTTGTAACAGGTGCTACACGCGTGTTTTCACGCGCATTGTTGGACATCGATACGTGAATGAGCACAACTTGCGGAACAACCCAGCGGGACGTTGTCATTGTCCGCACCTGCAGCCACACCGCAGTACGGCTGCTGGAGCGATGCCACCGCATTCATGTGGTCACAGCTTTCGATCAAACCGGTATTTCAGTTTGGAAACATTCTGACTCCACCCAACCTGCACACACACACACACACACACACACACACGCACACGCACACACTCACTGTTCTGCAGGCCGGTTTCTATCAGCTGTGTAGTTAGTGGCTCTGTGTCAAGCATGTTGTTTTTTGTGAATGAACAGAGCAGTTGTGGTTCATACGTTCAGATCGGCCTCACCTCTGACTTCTGTGAGAGTGTCACTGATCCCTGACGTCATGGGGAGAGTGTGAGGTGGTGGTGGACAGTGATGGTGCAGTGGAGGGTTGTGTGGGTTTCTACTGGAGGAAACTCCTCTGCCTTCATACTGTGGTGGGTCTTTGACAGCACAGCAGATGATAGAGCAGTATCTGACTCTAGAACAAGTTGTGGTGTAATATTAACACGATTAAAGGTGAGATATTGTCCAAGTTTAACAGGAAAATGGTCTGAAATTGTCCCGTCAAAGCATTTGAGGACATGTGTGCATAGAAAATGAAAATGTGTCCCTGAATTATTTTCTAGAAGCCAAATACTTCTCAGGAGCTGAGCTGTTGTTGCTTTGATAGGAAACCGATAACAAGCTGTAAAAAACCCAGTAAAATACGACAAGCTATAAACATCATATAAAGGTACATACAATATTTAGGCCACATACATAGTGGTGTAAATCACAAGTTTCATTACGATACTGTAGGATAAATACCTGTGGGATAAATATTTGGAGGATGCATGTTTTCCCTTCTATGGCTAGAAGAGTGAGCTACAGGACCTCCTTTACACTAACGAGGGAATGTCCTCCACACCTTTTCTACCATTTTTTTCTACCTTTTCATCTGCTCGTTCTAATCGAGTGTGATGCATGCTGGTAGTTTCTTTGCCCTTGGTTCCTCCTGCCTCTAGAAACTTTGTGTTACTTTAATTTGGGTTAAGCACGTTTATCATGGTGTGTTTGAGGTTTAATTCATGCTTAGGAATGTAGAACATCTAGGTGAGGGCAGCCTGTGTGCACATTCTGTCTTTAACCGTAGAAATGTGAAGCTGAACATGTCAGGTTAAGAGAGTCCAGTGTGCATGTTTCCTGGAGGTTACGGCCGTTCTGGTCAGCTGTGTTTTTGTATCCGAACCTCTTGAATAGGATGAGTTTCGGTGGCGTGAACAGAAGCTCCAGCAGCCCGACAAGAAGTCCAGAGAGCAGCCAGACGGCACCAGCCCTCCTCTCCCTGTTTGTTTTCCCTCCAGCTAGCCGGTCCCGGAGGTGGCGTGTGCAGATTGTTATTTGTAGAGGGTGTGACTGGTCAGGAGCGCCTCCTTTTTCTTTTTTGCTCTTTTCCCCCTCTAGTCCGAGGGCGTGTGTGTGTGTTGCCGGGGTGGGAGTGGACCACTTGAAGGAGGGATCCAGAGGCCAAGAGGCCTCTAATGGTCTCCATTTGTCCTGGAACAGTTATCTCAAAGCCTGCAGGGCCAAAAGCACGTCTGCACATCTCTCCTGGGTGTATTTTACGCCACACTGCATTGTGGGAAATGGCTGCACACTAAAAGCTTGGTTTTAAAAATACTTAATAAAATGAATGTTTTTGACTTTTATTTACAAGTTGTGGAAGAGCAAATAAAGCACTCTGTGTGCTCCGTCACTGCAGGCCTCATTGAGCGACTCTCCCGCTGCTGAGTTTGACGAGCATTTCTTCTGGTGCCGTTAGGAGCCGGCCACGTTGAGTTGTGGTAGGCAGTAGAAGTGGCAGCATTTGGACCAGAGTGCTCTCTCTCACACTCTCTCACACTCTCACTCTCTCTCTGTCTCTCTGTCTCTCTGTCTCTCTCACTCTCGCACTCTCTCTTTCTCTCTATCTCTCACACTCTCACTCTCTCACTGTCTCTCTGTCTCTCTGTCTCTCACTCTCTTTCTCTCTCTTTCTCTCTATCTCTCTCTCTCTCACTCTCTCTGTCTCTCTGTCTCTCTCACTCTCACACTCTCACTCTCTCTCTGTCTCTCTGTCTCTCTCACTCTCGCACTCTCGCACTCTCTCTTTCTCTCTATCTCTCTCACTCTCTCACTCTCTCTGTCACTCTCTCTCTCACTCTCTCTGTCTCTCTCACTCTCACTCTCACACACTCTCACTCTCACACACTCTCACTCTCTCTGTCACTCTCTCTCTCTCTGTCTCTCTCACTCTCACACACTCTCTCTGTCTCTCTCACTCTCTTTCTCTCTCTCTCTCTCTCCCCCCCCCCCCAGACAGGGTTGTTCAAGTTGACATTAACTTGTGTTTTGACTCTGAGGTGGAGCTGCGTGGTCCGGTCCCAGAGAGCCTCCCAGTCCCAAAATAGAGCCCAGCAGAGCCCAGTCTCTGTTCTAGAGATGTCTGGAAGGATAAAAGTTCAAGCTAAATTCCTGTAGCGGCTTTTGGGAATTTGCTTGAATCGACCAGTCAGCATATAAGATTTCTTGGTCTGAACTAAAGATGACAGCGCGTTACGCACTGAAGGGAATTATGGGATCAGTATACACGTTTTAACGGTGACTGCTCTGATTCTCTAGATTGATTTTTAATTGACGCACACAGTGATGCTGCAAATCAGACAAAGCTGCACATTGGCATGAGACGATATGAACACTTCATGTTATGATTATCCTGGACAAAATAAATGTGATTCACGCATTATTATCACCGACATATTTTAAGAAACTCTTAAAATGGCTCTGAAACATTCTGACAATTCCCTTTCCCTCATATTCTGTTTAGAAACAAATATTTGCATCTTTTCTTTTGGTGAAAAACAAACCAACAAAGAAGGTAATCATGAATCATTTAGGTCCCCCTGCATAAATAAGGATGAATAAGAAAGATAGTGAGTCTGTTCTTTCTTCATTATTTCCTGTGCTTTTTTAAATCATGCTCTATTTATTATTATTGTGAGTGTTTTTATTGCAATCCATGATATCACGATGAATATATATCGTCCCATCATCACAGCGATTCAGTGTCTCTCTCTCCAGCAGGATGGATGCACGAGGGCTTCAGTTTAGATCTCCTAACACCCGTCTGAATGAATGTAACTACAGACAAAGTAGAGTTGACAGGAAGCTGTTCCACCCTGACGGTGGTGAGCGAGGGCTCAGTGTGCTGTGGTCTGATGGTACCGTGAGCCGGGCAGCTGAATGTCTTTATAAGGCGTTGTTTTGTCGGTCCCTTTGGAATTCAGGAAAAAAACATTCCTGCCATGTGTTTCCCCAAATAATTGCAGAAGGATTTCTTCAATTCTTCCACCAAATGAGTGTCTGATATTCCAGATAAACAATAAAAAAAACACGACTGAATGAAACTTGGTCGAGAAGAACTTGACAAAGAAGTCTGAGCTTCACAGGACGGGATGTTTGTTTTAATCATGTTGGAGTGCGTGACGGGTGGGGTTTATATCCCACAGCAAAACACAATGGCAGCACAAATATGTGCACTATTTGATAGTCAGCGTAGCACACAACACAGATGCCCAGATGTGGTATGCACCCCTGTCTGCTGCAAATATGTTCAACCAGAAGCTGATTTTAGCTCAGGACCGAACCCTCCTTCTGTTTTTATTATCGGGCCGGTGATAATCATTTTCAGGATATTATCACGGCTGAATACACGTAAATATATTCTGAGAGCTGCTGTTTGTTTCACTGTATGAGCCGCTCCGAGTGATTTGACCTCTGAACCCATCTATGGGGGAGTTCAAGAGGACTTTGAACAGGAAGTCTCCAATAATACGGAGCAGGCCGACCAGGCAGGAAAGCTGGCATTTCCCCTTCGCCTTCGCTCCTCACGTTTCATTGCTTCCTGCAGGTCCTCTTCATAGCCGAGCTGGGAATCCTGTGTGCAGAGTAGACGGGCACGTGTATTTCAGATCCAAAATGCTGAGCTAGCATTGATGCATGCTCTTAAGGGGTTTGCATAACTCACAATCAAAGCGTTTCGAAGCGAAAGTTCTCGCTCTTTTTCCTGGTGTTTCCTGGATTTGACCATGAAATTACATGCAAAGTATTCTCACCTGCTGTTTGAAAGAACAATGGTTCTCCTGTTATAACTGGTGGAGCGGAGTAGAAGAGGTGTGGTGCAGAGAGGCACAGCCCGACTCTCTCTCCTGAAGACTAATCAGAGGGCTCAAAGTACCCATGTGGCTCAGGTAGAGACTTTGCTCTCCCTCCTGTGAGATACGGCTCAGTAATTATAGATGGATAGATAGATGTATACTTTATTCTTCCAACATGATAAGCCCGCCTTTCTTTTCAGTGATAGCTCAGGTGATGCAGAAATGTTTTTTTATGTCGTAGGTTCCTAAAGTAAGCTAATCGATAATGTTATAATTAGTGTGAATGCTAGCACTAGCTGAGCCGCTGTTGGCTCTGCTAAGTCTGGAATAACTGGAAGGGTTTCTGAGTGAAGGGGGGTTGTGTGAGGTACTTCTAGTGTATTAACTGGTGGCCGGGCGTAGGGATGGGTATCATTAGGATCGTGTCGATACTAGTACTCTTATCGATAGTGCTTATCGGTTCTTTTTGGTTATATTGTGTGAAAAAAAGACAATTAATAAGGAAAAGAATCCCCATTGCTTTCCTGGCAGAACACAGCAGTTTCTGGTCTCTGGCTGCCTCGATCGGTAGTTAGTTTGTGTTCTTGTGACTTTC